TCACACGATCTAGAGTAAGAAGAAAGAGTGACAGTCCTAAATGCCATGTAGCTTCCTGCTTATAAGTCTGGTGCACAACACACCCATAAAAAAGACTCTACTAGACATGGCTTGTAGACTCCCTAGGACAGAACTGCTCTGTTACCACTTTTGTCACGCCCCGAACCTGGGGGCGAGACCGGCACCAGGTGCCTTACTCAATCGAGTACCAACATAATATATCTTTCTTATCGTACTATCATTGGTAATTGGGCTAACATGGCCACAACTTGTAATGTATAACTATACGTGGGAAAGCACTGTATAAATGAATCATCTTTCTTAAAACATGAATACACATGGGCCGTCAAGGCCTCTGACATACTTGTACAAAATGAACCTCTGTCTACAAAGCCTCTAAGAGTGTTTGACATCCAATGGGATAGCGTACCGGCCTACCCATAATTTTGTAGCAAAATTATGACACGATGACGCATAGACTCGGTTGCACTCCGAATGAGGTGGAGTCTTACCGATCCTTCAATGAATTCTAACCTCGTCTACTATGAGGGCTCGTGAAATTGATTGTCTATACCTGCAGGCATGAAATGCAGCATCCCCAAAAAAATAACGTTAGTACAAAATAATGTACTGAGTATGTAAGGCAACAGAATAACTGAAAGCTGAAACTGAACTGATAATATAATAACTGAAAGTAACTGGGAGTCAACGATAATCTGAAGATATGCTTACATGTTGATAATGACTCAACTCTCTTAATATAGTAAGTAAAATAGTTATCCAGCCCTATAAGGCTCGGTGTATATAACTGTTCTACCGTAGTAAGCTCGCTCATAGGAGCTCGGCCATACTAGGCTCTATATCTCGGCCATGCTGGTCTTGCTCATAGGCGCTCGGCCACAGTAGGCTTCGTATATACTTACCATCTGATCAGAGATTGCCCAATAGGGGCCTGCCTACCGATTATAGCTCGATGATGGTGAAAATACTGTAATACTGTATATATATATACTCTCTGCTCTCTTGACTGGAAGAAGACAATACTAAATTGAATATGAAGTCCAGATAAGGGAGAATGTTGTACCTTATGAGACTAGGATAATGTATATAAATTCGGGAGGATGAACTTCTCTTTATGCCTCGTTATCAAACATATGTAATTACGAGATCATGCCAAAATGAAGGAAGGGCTTAGCCTTAACATACCTGAGCCGATTCTCTTGACAATCCCTCTAACACACGTCAATTGCAATAAGTCATATAACGGCGGATCGAAGTAGGAAAAAATCCGAATTGAAGCTTAATTCGTTGCCTTCAATACGTATAGAATTGTTGGAGTCTTTAAGGTTTTCAATCCGTATATAATTGTTGGAGTCTTTAAGGTCTTCAATCCGTTACTTAGCAGTCCTAGAATCCAACCTTTATAAGGTAAGGAGATCCCTTAAATTTGTAAGCTTGTGGGCCCCACTATCTGGCTAAGTTTTGCCTAAAGGCTTCCTAATTATGCCACCTAACCCAATGAACTAAGAGTCATATTTTCTAAGGTATTTGCTGCCACGTTTATGTTATTTAAACTTATCAATAATTCTAATTACTTAATTAGCTTAATTACTTAGTTAATCTTCCACTAAAAATTCATAATTATCCAATTATCCACATAATTAAAAATTATCTCAAAATATTACTCACTTTAACACACTTTATTCACTTTATAATTATGGGTATGTGGTACCTTGTATGACACTAGTCCATAAATATGGGGTATTATAGCTTGGACCGTATTTTATCCCAAATTGCCAAACTTCGACCAAACTCATTTTCTTCGATTTGCTTACCCTTTCTCCTTCACGAATTTACTCATCATGTGTTTGAAATAGCATAATGCTTATAATCTTAAAATAACCTCACTCCCGACCTTACGTCGATTAGCTTACGATGAAACTTTAACGTACGAAAATGCGGGATGTAACATCTCATTTTCCGAGCTTCCATCAATTTACTTATGGCGTACTTTCACGTACGAAAACATGGGTGTAACAGTACTATTCTTTCTGCGGTTTGCACCTGCATCTGCGGCTGTAGAATAAGTTTTACAGACCGTACATTTCTTTGCACTTCTCCTCTTTGGCTATTTGAGCTGGAACATCTCCATTTTGAGTTAGATTTCTTCATTGAGCTAACCTCCTCCAACGTTCCTACAATTCACACATTTTTGTTAGATTCGAAAACAAAAATTACTACGTTCGGGCTAAAAACTAAAGCAAGAAAGTACTAATAAGTGGTAAAAATTCACACTTATCAAGGTGCATGATAGCTATTCGGGATCTAACTCTAGTTCAATTCACTCTAATGTTCTAATGATTCTCACTAATTCACTTGATGATTAGTTCAATCGTATAGCCAAGACTCTTCCCTCGATTAAATTTGAACTTTACAAATTGAACTGATATAAAGCATTATGCATGTATGCAAGAATATGAGAATGGACTAGTCCTTAGAAAAACGTCTCTCATAATTACCCAATGCTCTTCCAATCTTCCGTGGGTCCCTCAAAAATGTGTTTCTAGTGTATTTATACCAAGTCGGAATGTGCTTGGACCAAACTACCCTCTATGAGACAAAGTGAGAAAACTTGAAAAACTTTTTACACTTTCTGCATTGCACAGTGTTATGCACTCTGCGTCGCATTAGTGTATTTTGCTCAATTGTAAACTCTCTGTACTTAGCTTATCTGACAAACTTTTGTACTAATGCGTCGCACCCTGCTACGCACATTGCGTCGCATTAGTGTATTTTCCTGTCAGACCCAAAAACTTCAAGTCTTTGATCTTCTCAAATTTCTGACGAACTTTTGTACTAATGCGACGCTCAATGCCACACCTTATACGACGCACTAGTACACTTTGCTCTAGCCCATGCATTTTTTTTTCAACTTTCGTATGCAACGCGGTCCACGAACCCCGAATATGGTCCCAGATGATCAATTGAAGCTTTTACTCGGACATCGAAGCTCCATGTTTTATTATGGCTCTGATTTAAGTCCTGAACACACAACCACGTTATAAGTACAAATTTCTCATAATTAAGCTCAAACACGATTGAAATGCACTCAACAACAGGTGAAATTGAGACCAAAATCCATGCTTCTAGACTACTATCAGGGGGCGCCTGCTACCAAACTAGGCACCAAACTTCCTGAAGTGCTGCTAATGGCACTGTGGGATGCGCCTAGCCCCAAGCTGGGCATACAAATTTTCCATTTTTATGTTATGCTACCTTTACCATTTTGAGAGAGGCTTGGCTCCAAGCTGGACGGCAAAATCATATTCTCTCCAAATTCTTCCGTTTTGGCTTCAATTTGCATGCAACCTCTCCAAATACTTCTGATTGACTTCTACATATATAAGCACCATAATTAAGCTTGAGTCAAAAATATTCACACCAAAGCTAACTAGATCGAGGCATAATGTAAGGCAAATTACATGCAAAAATATAGCTTTTTAGCCAAACATCAACATTCCCCTATGATCAGTATATAAGTATATGTTGCAGTTGCTTCAATAATTGCAGTGTTGTTGCAATCAATAAAATTAGGAACATAGTTGTGCTGCAGAAAATTGAGGAGTACACACCAGATTATGCTGACTCTCTTGCAGACATTTAGGATTCTGTTTTTCTTTTCTTTTTGAAAGTTTGTTAGCTATCTTCAAGTTCAAACTTGTTTAGCATAGTTTTAGCAGCATTTATTGACACTTAATTATATTATTGACTTTATGTATTTAAGCAAGCTTTCATAATCAATAAAAATAGACCTTTCAAGTTACTTTACTTGCTCTCTGCAGTCAAAAGCATTAACAGTATAGTTAAAGAATATTATCCATAAGCGTAATTGTAATAACAACCTTCTGAGGGGGTTATATCAGTAGCAAAGCTATGTACGGTGGAGAGGGTTGGAGAAGGTTCAATTCTTGGGCGGAAATAGAATCAAGCAAGGAAATATTTGAATTCCCTTCGCCATAAATTGTATTGTTTAAACAGAGCAAAAATTAATTTGTTTAGTTATATATAAACTATTGAACCATATTGACATAAGGAAATGTTCTAGCATTGTGGCAAAGGAGATTCAAAAATTGCTTCGGTCACATGTTCATCAAATCCTACGTTTGATATTTTAATATTTTCTTAAATTCGCTTATATAAAATCTTGGCCCCGTCGGTGATTCAATTGATTTAATAGGTTATGATCTTCGCCTAGGTATGTGAGTGAAAAAGTTTGACACATTCAAAGAGCGGTAAATGTATTCAGCCAATTAAATTCATTTTGGTATGCCTCCAGAAAAATTACGTTGAATCATTTCCTACCTTGTAATAAATGCAAAGGACCCATTTACTGAAGGAGGAAAGGCCTAGTGGTCACCTCACAAAAGGAAATCAAAATCATGAGCACAGCTATCTTGTTAATATCAAGAAGAAAAGTAGCAAGATTTGGTATCCCGCAATAATCACATGAAAGCAAATATGGTATGGGAATGGGAAATACCAAAAACTGCCCCACTACTGCTAGACAATGACAAATTTTTATAAGGAACATATTGTCATTTCATTTTTAGATTTCCCATTGCTTGATAAAAGCATAAGCTCCCAAAATACTTTCAACTGCCAATGATTCATAAAAAAGAAACATCTACTCTGACTTTATACATAAATGCTCAAGTAAAGGCAATCTTTGAAATCACAAAATTTTCCATCCTGTCAAAGACAATGCTAGAGAAGGCACTAGAGAGCTTTCTCGGATTTGGTTCTTTTTCTAATAGGATAAGAAAGAAATTATAAAAATGAAATCAAGAAAAAAAATAAATGTTGTGGCTGCAATTTGTCCACCAGTTTCTTCCAACCCAACCACCTAAACCAATTAATTTCAGTACTCTCACTGAAGGGTGTTTTTGGTTCCTTATTGTGTCTATTTAGTGGATTAACTCATTCAGACAGGGTTCACCCATGTGGGAGAATTAAGTTCTGTGACGTACAGATTTTACATTGGTGGGGTTAGATAGATTCCTTAATAAGTTTCTTCTAGAAAAAGAGCTCATTTATTGCTTCTTATGGTCTGATCATTCAACTCATATATTAAAGAAAATACATTTCTAGTTACTTAATTATATTATGTCTCAACACGTGAGAATATAATTCTCTCCAACGCGTAGAAATATCTTTTTTGTTTTATTAAGTCGATGAGATTTGAAGAAACGCTTTTATTTATTCTGATACCATATTGAATGTTTTCGCTAACACGGAAAGCTAAATGTAGCCATCAAAGGATAAGATTAATCCTAATACACTGCTGTCCAAGAAATACACAGTAACATGGTGTTTTAGATAGGTGTGGATAGTAGTTTGAAATATTTGAGAAAATGTCAAGTGGTGGTTGTAGCATAGTATGGTTTAGGAGGGATCTGAGGTTAGAAGATAACCCAGCACTGGCTGCTGGAGTGAGAGCAGGAGCAGTGATTTCATTGTTTATATGGGCTCCTGAAGAAGAAGGATATTATTGTCCTGGTAGGGTATCAAGATGGTGGATTAAACAAAGTTTATCTCATCTTAACTCCTCTTTGAAGAGCCTTGGAACTTCCCTAATTACAAAGAGATCTACTGATAGTATTTCTTCTCTTCTTGAAGTTGTGAAATCTGCTGGTGCAACTCAGGTCTTTTTCAATCATCTATATGGTTAGTTCTGTTCCATTCAGGGATGCTTTATATATAATATATGCTACCTTGTTTTTAGTCTTTCTCTTCCTTTTATACAACATGCCTTTTTTCAGTTCGTTCTTGTGAACGCTCTATGGATCTATAAACCGGTAGTAAACGTAGAGATTTCTAGTGCTTTTAATTTCTGTTTTAAATAATATTGGAGTGAGATGAGCTTAACTGAAGCAACGTGTCATATAGCTGACCAACTTGCTTGAAGCTCAGGATAGTTGTTGTTGTTGTTTGTATACATCCTATCCTATGTGACTCACACTTTCTGAATCTTCAATGTTTTTGTCAATTTATATGTTCTTTTACTTAATTGAGTCCGTTTGCTACAATATGTCCTCTATAAGGAAAATAATGTATTGTCCTTTAACAAGCAGTTACATTGGTGTTAAGTCCTTTCTCATTACTTCAAGGATTTTTATGTATAGTTATTTTCCTCTATAATAGTAAACTGATAGTAGAATATAAGTTATTGTTTCCCTGTTTTTGGTTGATTGTATGCTGGTTGTCTGAATCTTATGTTGCTCATCTGGATTGCTATTATAAGTTCTATATCTTTATCATGTTATTTTGTATAATCTGTTATTTAATAAAAGAGGGGTATCCTCAAACACTTGATCAATATGCTTGTGAAAGTCGAATTTATTTTAGCAGAAGTTAATGGCTTCTCATTTTTCTGAAGATAGGATTATAAACAAAAGGTTATCTTCTATGACAATTGAATTCATTGAGTAATTCTAATTAGTACTCTATTTTTTTCCGCTTTAGACCCAATATCACTTGTAAGGGATCATCGTGCAAAGGAAGCCTTAATATCTGAAGGTGTATCTGTGCGCTCCTTCAATGCTGATTTGCTATACGAACCATGGGAAGTTGTCGATAATGAAGGTCGCCCATTCACAACGTTTTCAGCTTTCTGGGACAGATGCCTTACCATGCCTTTTGACCCTGAAGCTCCACTTCTTCCACCTAAAAGGATAATATCTGGTTTGTCCTCTTCTGCGCGCTTTCTTGCCTTATAGATATTGTTCGTGTTTTTACTATACGCACATTCAATTTAAATAACTTGTTCCTCTTACCATTTTGTTCCACTAATCTAGCTAAGAATCAGATAGAATCCCTTAAAAGGTATTAATGCAGTGCCCTACTGAAATTATTCTATTGTTCATTTCATGGATATTATCAAACAGTTTATCTAGTACTGGTTTACCTGTTATCCTCTTAACATTGTATGTGCAAAAACTTCCAGGTGATGCATCAAGATGCCCTTCAGACAACTTGGTGTTTGAGAGCGAATCAGAGAAAGGAAGCAACGCACTTCTTGCTCGAGCGTGGTCTCCTGGTTGGAGCAATGCTGACAAGTCACTGGCTACATTCATTAATGGACCATTAATTGAGTATTCCAAGAATCGTAGGAAAGCTGATACTGCAACAACCTCATTTCTGTCCCCGCATTTACATTTTGGTGAAGTCAGTGTTCGTAAGGTATTCCATCGTATTCGTATCAAGCAAGTTCTCTGGGCCAATGAAGGAAACAAAGAAGGTGAAGAAAGTTCCAACTTGTTCCTCAAGTCCATTGGCCTTAGAGAGTTCTCAAGATACATGAGCTTTAATCATCCTTACAGTCATGAAAGACCACTGCTTGGTCACCTAAAGTACTTCCCTTGGTTAGTAGATGAGGGCTATTTTAAGGCATGGAGACAAGGTAGAACAGGTTATCCTTTGGTTGATGCAGGTATGAGAGAGCTTTGGGCTACTGGCTGGCTACATGATCGTATTCGAGTTGTTGTGTCTACTTTTTCTGTTAAGGTTCTGCAGCTTCCTTGGACATGGGGAATGAAGTATTTCTGGGACACTTTGTTAGATGCAGATCTTGAAAGTGATGCTCTTGGTTGGCAATATATTACCGGTACCCTACCTGATGGTTGTGAGTTTGATCAATTCTATAATCCACAGGTATGTCCTGGTAATCTTTTGGGAAGGTTGTTTTCTGGGTTGGATACTTGCACAAATTGGAACTCTCTTTTTCACTTTCTATATAGTAGAAGTACCTAAGTTGCTCGGAATCTTCACTTTCGGTGCCGCATCCGTGTCGATATGACATGGGTGTGGGACCCGTACCGAATATGGTCAACCAATTTGGGTGCTTTGACCAAAATCAATGGAGAAATTCAGGAAAAATACAATGATTTCTGAAATCAAATCAAAAGCTAGGGTGAAACTGAAGAAAATGGACTTATATATTAAAATTTTTATGTCAGTACTTTTCCTTTTATCTTCTTCTCGGATTCTCCTCTTGATCAATATTTTTTCCCTTCTCGGAATACCTTATAAGATTTTCACATAATATCTCATAATTTAGATTGTGTCGAGGGTCTACTCGAAACGGCCTCTCTACATTCACTGTAGGAGATCTACATACTATCATAACCTCGCCATACATCACTTGTGGGACTATATTGGGTTTTTTGTTGTTGTTGTTGTCTCATAATTTAGACATATTTTTATCTCTATTTTTAGATATTTGAATTATTTGTAGTTGAATCACTACACGCGTATTCGTACCTGGATCCTTACCCTCGAATCTCAAAATTTGGATCATAAAGGATCCGACTTCTAGATCCGCATCTGTATCGGACACCCACACCCGAGTCCCAGCAGCATAGAGAAGTACTCACTTACATATTAAAGCTTTCATCCTATCATGGATAATTCTAAGTGGTCTAAGGCTGGTTTTACTTTGAAAAATTGACTGTACACTTTCATTGTTTATTGTCTTTACTGCAGTTTGAGGGATACAAGTTTGATCCTAAAGGAGAATATGTTCGGCGATGGCTTCCTGAACTTGCTAGACTTCCCACTGAATGGATACACCACCCTTGGGATGCACCAGAACCTGTACTTCAAGCTGCTGGCGTTGAGCTTGGTTCCAATTATTCTCTTCCTATTGTTGAAATTGATGCAGCAAAAGAAAGACTAGAAGATGCCCTGTCACAAATGTGGCGGCGTGAAGCAGCTTCAAGAGCTGCTATTGATAATGGAATGGAGGAAGGACATGGAGACTCTACCGATTTTGTCCCAATAGCATTTCCTCAGGCCATGCAGATGGAAATGGATCCTGAAACAGCCAGGAACAATACTACAAGAAATGCTATTCGACGTTATGAAGATCAGATAGTCCCTAGCATGTCATCTTCTTTTTTTAGAACTGAAGATGAAGTATCCTCTGTGGATATCAGAAATTCAGTTGTGGAGAGTAGAGCAGAAGTTCCAATAATGTTGATGTATAACTGATGAACCATGAGAGATATACACTCGGTACGCATTATGCAGAGGAAGAGTGAAGATTCAACAGCAGAATCTTCAAGCAGTAGTATTAGAGAAAGGGATGGAGATGTAGTTCCTGCATGTTGAAGTCCAAGCTACTCGGATCAATTTGCTGGTGGTGTCAATGGTATGGGGACCTTATCTTACTAGCAAAAAGGCATCGGTTGTTTCATCAGTTAATGAATTGTCAGCAGCTTTATCAAACAGGGTAAGCAAACTATACAGATATGATTCAAACTGGTATTTAAAACTACAGTCATATCTATATACAGATATGATGCCTCTGGCCCTCTTTAGCAGACCTTAAGTTGAGAAGATGCATTAATAGTTATGATTCAGATTCTTCATGGAACTTTCTTAAGTTGTCATTTATGTACTTGCTAATAGGTGATCATATTTGCGGTATAATGTTAACTAAAAGGTGGCTAATATGGCCATTTCGATTATCAATCAGCACAGTTAGTATGGAATCAATCTTTACCTGCTGTTTTCTCTCATAGTCTGACATGATAAGCTGTAAATGTGTGTCTATAATCTCTAACTATATGGGGTGATACGTCTGGATTCTCTTTCCCTACTCCTTATCCCGTTTGTACCATGTGTCTCTGCTGCTTAATATAGATGCTCTCATAAGTCCCAATAAGTGTCAGAAGGGGTTGAAGTCCTCTAGAAGCTAGCATTTATATGCCCTTTTTGTTTTCATTCCAAGCCTAAATTTTCTTTAACAATGACTTGTAACTAAACTATCATCAATCTTTCGAAAGACATTTGTGGATATAATAGGTTTATACACTGTTTTCCTTGACCCGAAGTCTATTGGGAACAGTCTCTCTACCTCCACAAGATAGGGGTAAGGTCTGTGTATACACTACCCTTCTCATACCCCACTATTGATTACATTGGGTATGTTGTTGTAGTAGGTTTATACAATGTTTGAAGAATGTAGATGATAACTAGCTGCTTCATATCCATTGCTTGGAAAGTTGGATTTGAAAAAAGCAAAGAGAAGAGGCTATCAACTCATCTTTTACATTTTTAGCTTGGTGTAGTACTGCCTGGGAAAATTTGTGGCAGTTCAAAACTATGTGATCTTAAGCGAGATTTTCTCAGATACTGGTAAATTCACTTTTAGGATTACTTGGATATAATTCCTTTCAAAGGCATCAGAAGTACACGGAAATCTTCAAATAGTTAACGCAATAGGTTTTTAACAAACTATAGTCTGACAAAGATGCAATCTTTCTTCGTTCTCTAGAGCAGGACAAATCACATTTTGGCATTCATGTGATTTCACCAGTACTTTAAGGTGTTGCATGATCTCCCACTTGTAGGCATAATGCATACATCTTATGCTTCAGATCGACTGTAGTGCTTTGCTCATGAGCATTTCCTGCTTTGGTTGCCGGAGAAGGTTATATATCCCAGTTGCTGTCATGGCCCCGAGAATTGGTGCAATAACAAAGATCCATTGGTTCTTATAGACACCTGAGACTATTGCAGGGCCTAAACTTCTTGCTGGATTCATTGAAGCTCCAGTTATTGGCCTGCAAATATGAAAGTCAGCGACAAACTGATCTATAAAATATGTTATACTCTCTAGATTTGGAGAAATATCAAGACTGCATCTTGAGGTGTGATTTTACCCTGCAATGAGGACTTCAAACAATAGTGTAACTCCAATTGCAACTCCAGCTAGCTCTTTGCTCTGCAGTTGAAGATAGTAGACTGATTACGAGGACTTCCTAGTTGAGTAGATAATAGGAACTACATCTAGAGATTTTCAAATTGATCAAACAAACAAATTTAGATGCTTAACTGAAATTCTATACTGAAACTTCTAAAGAAGATAGTCCTTAGTGAAGGCATACCGCTCTATCGTCAGTAGCAGCTCCACAGATCACAAACATTAAAATGAGAGTCATTATGAATTCCCAAGTGATGGCTTCAAAATCAGTGACTGGATTTTTGTACTGAGTAAGTGTTGGTAGTATGTCATCTTGGTGATTAAATAACACTCTCAAGGTGAGACATGCAAGTGTAGAACCCAAGAATTGAGGAAAGACATACATAGGCACCTGCAAGAAAGGACACCAAAGAAGTGACATAGTGTACCTGCCTCAAAATGCATATAACTGTTGATTGAGGGCAGCAGCAGGTGCAAGTACACCCCTTGACTATATAGACAGGTAACACATTTGTGAAAACATAGTACTAATTAAACTAAACTTGACTATTATCTTAAAGAAGTACTAGGTGTAATAGTATCTCACACTATTAAGATAAAATTCCAGACCTGCTTATGCTTTCACCCCCTCCAAATATGGATAGATGCACAAGTAGTGCACACGTTGGACTCGTGTATAACAAGAATTCAATGATGTTTAGTAAGTTCTTACATGCAGCAATGGCAATTTGCGAGCAGCAGCGAAGGCAATTGTGACTGCAGGGTTGAAATGGGCGCCAGAAACGTGACCAAGAGTGTATATTAATCCCATAAGAGATAAGCCCCATGCCATTGCTATACCTACAATAGTAAGTGTCCTTTCTCTATCAACAAGAGCTGATCCACAGCCCACAAATATGAAAATGTAGGTTCCTACCAACTCTGCTATAATCTGCTCATGTGTGAATAGGCATGGAATAAAACAGTCGTTAGTAGATGATATAATGTTGGCGGAAGGGGGATTGATGAAGATATAATTAAGTAAATAAAAGTGTGCTTTTTCTCACAACCTAAACATTTAGATGAGATAGTCAGGAAATTCAACATAATTTCAAAGCAGACATCTATTGTAGCTTCAACTCTCACTGTCACCCTTGATCAAAAATAACTTACACATGCTTGGATCATTAAAGAGAATCAGGCACGTGAGGTGGCGTGTTGAAGATGTAGTTAAGTAAATAAAAGTGTGTTCTCTCAACTTAAGCTTTAGATGATGAGACGGTCACACCATTCAATGGGAATAAGGAAGCGTTACCTTTTGGAATGCAGAGACGAATGTTGCAGCTCCGGGAGAGAATTCCTTCATAGGAGTTTGAAAGGCGCCATGTTTTCCTTCTTCCATGCTGGAAAAATCCGCAACAGTTCCATTTTTTGAGGAATTGGTTGACACTATAGAAGTTATGCTGGCCATTTTTACAAGTTCAGGAGTAGTCTACCAATCATCACTTAATCTTGGTTCTTATAGTATGTGGTATTTGACTTGGCACAAGGATTTGATCACCAGATATAATTCTTGATGTGATATTGTTTGTTAAACAAGAATATTGTTTAGTGTATCAGCTTGTTTGGATGGTTGGTACGTATCGTTTCATAATGTATCGTATCGTATTGTATTGTATTGTACTGTATCGTTTGATGAATATAATGTTTGGATGGATTGTGTCGTTTTGGCGTCGTTTCATGGTATCACGCACATGTGATATGATGAATAAATTTGCAATATTTTATTATAAAAAAGAATTATGATACGGTATATAAAAAGGTAGGGTAAATGATAAAATAAAATTATTTAATAATAATGAAGGGTGAGATTTAGAGAAAAACACAAGGAAACGACGCGACCACACCAAATCGGTCGTTACATAAAGTGACACATTTCATCATTACGTAACGACGGATTTAACGATACGATACAATAAAATTTAAGTAACAATCAAAACAAACATTTTATTTAAAGTAACAATACGATACGATACAATAGGTAACAACCATCCAAACAGGCTGTAAAGACAAACCTTGGATACTTTTGAAAACAAGTATTAAGGTGTTAAAATATGATGTGCCGAATTTTAATGATGTTACATGTTCTTATAAAGACAAAAATAGATTGTTGAGTCAGAAATCCTGGTAAGTTGTATTTGTTATTTGAAGCCGGCACTTGTTGGAAGATGAAATTGCAGGCAACTAAAAGCCTGGAAGTTGAATTTAAAAGGAAAAATAGAAAAACTAAGAGCCCGTTTAAACATAAGAAATTTTTCCCTTTTTTCCAAAAAATTTTAACTTTTTTTTCGAAATTTGTTCATAAAATTTTCAATTTTCACTTGAAGATGCATTTTGAAAATTTTCGAAAATTTGAAAAACTCCAAAAAGCTGTTTTTCAAATTTTCACTCAAATCACTCATAAAACTTCAAAAACAACCCAAAATCATATTCATGTCCAAACACAACTCTAAATTTCAAATACCATTTTCACTTGAAAATATTTTTCCCCCTATTTTGGAATTTTATAATTCTTATGTCCAAACGCCCACTAAGTACAAGCCGGCTAGAAGTGAGTCTGAGTGAGAGATACTGATATATGCTGCATTTCAAACATAATCCTATATCCTCATGAACTGTTTTTTATTTGGCCGTTTGGTTTAGAAAAGTTGTTCACCATTTTTCTTTTTGAAAAAAGTCACAACCAAGCAGAAAATATGTCTTTCTTTAGCTTATTACTTATAGAGACTCCTAAAACTGGAACTGAAAGGAATATTATGTGTGAATGTTTGTAGTACTCATTTTAGAATTTGAGTAAGTTATCGAATACGATATTCATGATTATGGAAGGAAAGCAAGATTTTATTCATTCATATATCTTACTTTTAGTAAACTATATCTTATTTTAACTCAGTTCATCTCATTTAAACAAAAGAAGGGGTTTTTTCTTCTATGGAAAAAAATAAAATTCAACATATATACAAGTTAGGCTTGAAAATGGAATGTAGGCTTAAATTGGTAAGGATATCAGCCGACCTGTACTTTTGAGTAATAATTTCAAGAAAATACTTTGTCAACAGTCTTCACTGGAAAGCAGACGTGAATTCTGCAACAAGGGAAACCATCACAATGAAGTCACACTGCTTGATTAGGCTAAAAATGTGGTTCAAGTCCTCGCGCTGTTCAAAGTCATGGAAGACATGAGTAGGTTTTGGAGGATTTACGTCGTTTACGATGCGTTGAAGAAGCAAAGATTATGATACATAAACATAACTACGAATACTGATACTGTAAAAATCACTATCATCCACAAATTACGAGAAACATATATCTGCTAATAAAACATCCATAATAAGCAAAACCAGGGTAGCATCATTTAATTGAAAGCAGTCTGGAACTGTTTTCAAAAGCAGGGCACAATACAAGCCAATAACAACAAAATCGCTGTCTAAAAAATAGGATCTTCCTTATATTACAGCTTGTTTGGATGGCTGTTATATATCGTTTCATAATGTATCTTATAGTATTGTATTGTGTTGTATCGTTTTGGTGTGTACAATGTTTTGATAGATTGTATTATTTGCCGTCGTTTGATGATGTCATGCACCAATAACATGAAAAATAAAGTTGTAATATTATTAAGAAAAGGTATGGCAGAAGATAAAATACGATTATTTAATAATAAGGAAGGGCAAGATGAGAGGAAAAAAATAAGGTAACAACGCAACCACACCAAATCGGTTGTTCAATAAAGTGACACTTTTCATTATTACGTGACGACGAATTTAACAATAC